CAGCCAGCCTTGGGCTACGCCTTACTTCCTGGATCTTTTTTGCTATGCACACCCTCCAACCTAGTCTCCTCACCCACGCCGACATCTTCTCTACTTTCAGTCTTTCCCATTCTGCGCTTACTCTCCTTCCAAACGTGATCCTAAAGTGGTTTCCTTCCCTTTCTACCCCCCCCCGTGCGAAGCAATGTAATCCTACTTCTTCACATATACTTTTGAACTCCAACCTTGTCATGTCGTTATTGACCCCAAATATCAACACTATCTACTGCACCTTTCCATTCCCTCTTTCTCCACCCTTTGTGCCTTGTCGTCTCCCTCCTTTTCTCTTTCGAGACTATCTCGTTGTTTTTGTTTGAAGTGGGATGCTTTCAAATTACTGGGACNCGCTACTACCCGCACATGGCATGGTTTGAGTGTTGAGCGCAGTCAAACCTCTGCCAGACCACGTCACGCGTAGTTTTGTCGGCCACGCATGCGCTGCATCGACGGCCGTGATACACTTAAGGTCGGCGAATCGAATCGAATCGAATGAAGGGTGAGCAATAACACACATGTACGCAAATAAAGGCATGAACGGAGAAAAAAAATCGGAAAAAAAATCGAGCTGACGGGCGGGAGACAATGGAGCATTCGCCTTTTCTGCTACTGGTACTGAATACCGTAAGCATAGAAATTTCACCCCCTCCCACACACACACCCCGGTGTTTGCCATCGGTGTTGGGTTTTCGTCGCTTGGCAACGACGTTGTAAAACAATCCATTTCACTTCGTGAACTCGGCAACCAGGTTACCGTTATTTTTTGTTTACCTCCTTTTATTTTTGGCGGTAACCATAGTGGTGGTCGAGTAGATCACGTTGTGCGGGGTGGACAATCCTCACTCCGCGCAAAGGGGAATGATCGCACCACATTGTGTTACAATGGCCAAGCACCCTCGAGGCATTTACACAGTGCTGACAACTGTCTCTGCAAGTGAAAGCACCAGAAAATGAATTAAGTCATACGCAGCTGTCATCCGTAATGCCTCCTCGGTGGTAGGAATAATCGGATAGCATGCGTGCCGCTATCCTCGATCAGCGAGATTTCAACCAAGTTTTTCCGTCGAAATGAGTGCCCCGAGCTTTATGTAGCCATAATGTAGCTCACCTGCTTCCCGATGCAATTCGAGCCGACGAATTTCTTCGAGATGCGCATGGGGTCGCAGTTGAGCATTATGCTGAGGAACGTTCTGAGAGTCGTTCCGTCGGTGAGGGGCAACAGCCCCGCCTTGAACTCTTGGATTAACCTGCACGGAGACGCAATCCCGAGGGGGTTGGCAGGGGGGGGGCGGGGGAGGGAGGGGCGGTAGAATGGCGATTACACATTCGTTCAGACAATATTCCTAGCAAAAAAACACGAGGATGTAGAAACTTCCGCCTCGGAAAAGGTACATGATCACAACGGATCAGTACCGGTGATGGCACCACGGAGCGACGCTTGGTTGTCGCGGCGAAGTCCAAAAAAAGTTGACAAAACATTGGAAAACAGCCACCATTTCGTGTGGTTGTTTCTGTCGAAAAACTCGACTCTTTCATGCAGACAAGAAAAAATAAGAGGGGTAACCCGAAAACGTTATACCCGGATAGATTATCACCATTTCAGGGTACACTTGGAAATCAAGACACCAATCTCCGACAGCGTCCGCCGTAGATCGCGGCGAAACCAATAAACCGCTGGCTGTGTCCTGTGTGTCCTGTGCCTCGGAAGCATGATGCACGAGGCAGGTCGTGCGCGTTTTTCTCTCTCTCTGTGCCACTCTCTCTCTCTGTGCTGTTACTTATCAGTACCACACCGAAGTACTCGCGCGCAAGCGAGTCCGACCCTCTGTTGAGAAGGGCCGATATGCTATGGAGGCGGTTCCCATGAACGATGAACGAGCGAGCGTTGTTGGTGGTTTGGTTGTGGTTATGTATATGATGTGGTACACGGTATGTGCGGCACACGATATTTTCTGCGGGTTTTAAGCTAGAGCATCGGGCGCCGGGATTATGACCATTTCCGGGTACAAAATTGACCTCTTCCGGGTACACCAGTACCCAATATCGGTCACACCAGAGGGTCCTAATTCCAGCGCAAGTTGTACCTGATGGAGGTTTCTTCAGAAATGGGTACATGGTTTTTCGACCAATCAGCTGACAGCCTGGGGGTGCAAGCGAGTTGATTTCTAACTGTACCCTAAAGTGGTGATAAGGTACCCAGGTATACCTGTTTCAGGTTGTTGGTCTAAAAATAAATAACATCAGGATCAAGACTGGCCACCCCGACGACGCCAAATCAGCCATTAAGGAAAAGAAGGAAAGATATGTTGTGAAGGGCAACCAAAGTCCAGACGAGGTGTGAACGGTGTCTCGAGAAAAAAAACAACCGCCGTTGAGCAAAAAACACCCACACCGCGTCAAGCCAGAGCTGGGTACTGGTGAACGGAACAAAGGCGATTCCCCGGACCCCCCCCCCCCCCCCC